GTTGCAAGTTACTTTCTGCCTCCTCTGAGAATATTCGGAAATGGTTAAGTAGATTGTATTTACCAGACACACCCTCAGGTCATTGTTACCAGGTTATGAAGACCCCAAGAGCCAGATGACTTGAAGAAGTTTAGGAAGTAGCACCTTGAATTATGTAGTAAACGTTTAAACCTTACCAGACTGTGTATGTGTTTATCATGCAGAAAGCCTTGCACATTCGTGTACATGGATAATCAACAACTGCCAATCCCATGCCTGACTCAAGGCAGGAGCGGGCCAGCTCTACAAGTGACTGCTCAGAGAGCTGATAGTGTGACGTGTCCGCTGTGATGTGAAGAAGCCATGAGCAAAGCATAGCCAAACGAGCACGGCTGGGCAGCGTTGTGCCCCACAGGCTTGACTTACAGAGACGGTGGTAGATGGCAGCTGGTTGCAGTCAGCCCGAGGACCCTGCTCCGCCGTCTCCTGCCTTCCCAGGGGCCACACTGGCCTCAGTCGGACTGTCCACGTCTATGTGTTGGAACTTTCACATCAATTTCAGGTATTCATGGTCACTCTGCAACGTGTCAAAGTCCGTAATTCAGGTACAGCGCTTTCTTCATCTTTATAACTCAAGCACTCCCTGTTTCTATCTGTTGCAATGAGCAATTTCAAGGCAGCAGAAGGGAGGGAAGACACATGAGATGGAGAAGGCAGAGATGAAAGCCCAGGGACGATGGCTGAGCAGGCCACTCCTTGAAGGAACCATCTTCAATGACATCATATGGACTATTGACGTCTCAGGAGCTCCGTCTGTTGGTGGGGGGGACTTCATCCAGCAAGTCCTGCCTCCCCTCTCCCCTTGGCCAAAGCTCGCCCCATGGGGACTTCTAGGTTGTACACATTTGGCCCCAGTGGGGCCTCGTGGCTTCCACACTGAAGGACAACAGGGGCTCTTTTATATGCCATGATAGGGACATTAGTGGGCATGGGACAAGAGCCATGGGGTGCCCCCAGCCCTGAAAGCTGCTGTGCGGGGTGAGAAAGCGGCCGGAAGCTGGAGGACGGATGAGGCGTGTGCTGCCCGCTCTTTGCACCACCCTGGACTCACACGCCCTGGTTGCCTCAGAGCCCATGCCACGTGCCCACGTAGAATTCCTCTTATCTCCCTCGATCTCTGTCCCCGACAGAGGAGACAAAGCTTCGTCAGTCACTGAGCCCCTTCCCAGGTGACGTTGGCCGTGTCTCCGGAGCCATGACATTGGGGTGGAGACACCTTCCTGTGCTTCAGCCAATCCTGACTGGCACATCCTCCTCACTGCTCAAGGTTTCAGCTCTGATGAGATCATCGTTAAATGGGAATTAGTTTACCCCTCCGAGCAAGAGGACTTCTTCTTTTGTTTTTCTTTTTTTTAAAAAGTTTTTGCTACAAGGCATATGCGCTTGCCAGAAAGATGGAGAGAGACAGAGAGACAGAAAGCGAGAAATCACCCCCAGGGGGGATGACCACGCCACAATCCCTTCTCCTCCTTTCTCCTCTCGGGATCTTGGGCACTCATGCACATGTGCCCCGCGTGAGTTTAAGCCACTGGGTCCAGGACTCGAACTGTGGTCAACTACATGGAAGTCCAGCGACATAGCCATCACATCAACTGCTGGTCCCACAAGGGGACTTCTAAAAAGATGTGGAGAAATGGAATTAAAGTATGAGTTTATTTGGGGCCAAAATTTTCACAATCAATAATTCTTTCTTAATGCTTATTTTCCATGAGTCTTTTGAATATGCCTGAGATTTCTCTTCTTCATCAGCAGTTTCAGGGTCCAGTTTGCGACTTTGGTGGGGTGACCCCGACCTTTATCCCTGAAGAATAGTGAGCCATAGATATCGCTCCCATGGCCTCAGTCTGGGCCCACTCACTGCTGGGCAGCACCCCATAGCCTGGGCGACACATCCAAGCCAGTGGCTTTCACAGCTTCCCTGGTCTGCAGGCCACTGGCCTGAGGCGACCAAAGTGGAGGGGGTGTACTGAGCGTCCAGTGATCTTGCCAGCCTACAGTCAAAAAATTCCCTACTCGGATATTAAAAGTGGTAACAAGCTGAAGGTAAGTGACAGGGAGGGAAGCTCACATGCTGTGAACCTGCAACAAGGAGGCCTATTAGACTCTTACCATCTAGGCACTGGGATCACGCTGGCTACAGGGACCCGTGACCTCTGAATCTTTGGTGGACATGCCCTGCAGGCCACTCTGGTTGGTCCTTACCCAGCCACTGTCGGGTCCAACCAGGCTGGATGCCTGTGTGTGTGAGGGGTAATGACTTAGTTCATTAGGGCTGTGGTACCAAAACGCCACCCACTGGGCAGTTTAAACACGGAATTTCATTCTTCACAGAGTTAGAAGTTGTAAAGCTCAAGTTCAAGATGCCGGCAGAGTTAAGTGTCTGCTGAGGCCCGCTTCTTGGTCACAGGCAATGGCCTTTTCAGTGCGTTCTCATGTGGCGTGGGGGCGAGAGGGCGCTGGGGTCTCTTCCTCCTACCCTGTCATAGGAGTTCTGTCCCCGTGACTGTTTTTAAATCTAATTCACTTCCAAAGGCCCCCTCTCTGATTATTAGGTCTTTCGAAAGTCGTGATGTATTGTTACATAGAAAAACACAGAAAAAATATGTCATAGCTTTCCTGGAGACCTAGTACTAGCACAGTAGGAGGTTAGGGCTTTAACCTGAGAATGGTGAGGGACAGTCCCTCACTCTGGGTCCTGCTAAGATCTGAGGTTCACTGCACCTGCCTCACAGAGGCTCCCACTGCTCCTGCGGCCGGGCCTGTGATATACCCCCCCGTATGGAGCCCCCTGGTCGCTGGGGTGCCTTACAAGGCTCAGTACCACCTTTGCTCCTGACCACTGGGGCATTTGACCATGACCATCTCCAGCTCAGCCTCGGCGAGAGCAAGCCATGGAAAGAAACAGTGTGTTACAATGTTTTTGGGTCACTGAGTCAGCCATGGCCTGGATCCTCTTTGTAGACATAATCATATGTGAGTTAATAATTCCTTATTTTTAAAGATAGCTTAAGTAAGGGACAAAATCAGGGGATAAAGACTGTTACTGCCTCCACATGCAATAAATTGATTAATCATATCACTATCTTAAATGGCTTCATAAAGCAGCCATCCCATAATGTCTCATTAGAAAAAAAGCTGCCTAAAATTGAGACATGAGTTTAAAAAATGACCACTTGACTGGAGCACTTGATTCCCACGTGGTACGTCGTGAAGGCACCGTGGCTTTTCTTGGCCCGGAATCTTCTCGACGCTCCTCTTTATTGCAGGTGGTAGTTGTGCTTCTACCTGCCGTTTTCAGGGAAACTCAGATGAGCCGCCGATTTCAAAGCCTGGAATGCAACACCTTGGACGCCGATTCTCCAGAGCTCACCTGGGTACTAGTTCCATCAGAATAACCAGAAATGCTTATTGAAAAGGCAGACGCCCCAGTCCCGTTTCAGAACAAGTCATTAACACCCTCTGAGGGTGACGCTGAGGGATCTGCATTTTCAGCAAGATCTGTTCACTGCCAAGACTGAGAGCAAATGTCTAGGGAAAACTGGCTGAGATCAAAGACAGGCCAGCCTGGCTATTCGGGATGAAAAAGCACTTCCCGTTAATCCAGGCTTGACATCTTACATGCCTATTTGTACTTTCTAGGGTTGGACTAGGGAGGAAAATAGTATGGGCAGGAGAGCTGGTTACAGTCCTTCCTCTGCCAGCCCAGTCTCTAACCCCGTGCAATCTTAGAGAATCACTCGGGGCCTCAGCTTTCTCTCACGGCAAGTCGGAGGAAGAGAATTACATAAGATTATATACAAGGTCTTTTTTTCATATTAAATTCTTTAATAAAATGACATCAACAGAGGGGAACGGTTATAAAACTTGTCTATCCATAATCAGATTTATTTAATTTTATTCTAAGTCACTGCCTTCGACTTTTCTATTCCCACTACGTTTTTATGGGGTAACAAGAGGGCAATGGGAAGGATGTGCTTAGCGGTAAGTGTCCCCCCAGAGATACCAATCAGTAGGAAACCATCTACAAGTTAAGAGCCTTCCTCCTGAACTGGAGATTTCACATCTTGGAAAGAAATCATAGAACTTTATGGAATACAATCATGTGTCATAGTTAAACAGTTGTTCACCAGGTGAAATGCCTTCGATTTTCTACTTTTAGAAGTCATGCCATTTGTAAGTGGATTGTACAAAAATCTGCTAGGAAGCAACCTTGCACACTCACATTTTCGTATCGTATGCTCAGTGTTATTCGCACCCATACGAAGTTGTTGCCACGTGGCTGTATCTTCATCCTCCATGGCCCTGTAGGAAATTCCCATCTAGTCTACAATATGTGAGTTGGAAGGGTTCTGCTTTAGACTCCAAGCTTTTGCTTCCAACTCTGGAAATCTGATGTGAGAATTCATCACGTTTTCCTGCTTCGGTCAAATCCCTAGTGTCAAAAACTCTGTAACCTCAGTGCCAATAAAAACAAGCCAACCAAAGTGTGGGGATTGCTTTCCTTGAAGTCATCCTTCTCTCCCTCCGGCCCAGCAGGAGGTAAGGGAGTCTTACATCCAGAAATGGAGCACGTGGCAGATAAAGTCGGGGGGCTTCTGCAGCCACAGCCTGGCTTGGCAGATGGTCCAAACCTACGGAGCCCCTCACAGCCTAAGAGCCTGATGGAACTTCACGTCCTGTGTATCTTTCATTCTTGCTTTTGGACATTTGCACTAACAAACTAGGCTCCCTGCCACCCCAAGGAGCTGTAAAGGCTAACTGAATTTAGCGACATTCACAGGAGACATGAGCTGTCTCCGTCTCAGACGGCGAGTGGCACGAAGCAGCCAACCCTCACGCCTGCACGCTCCGGTGAGCGGCCCAGCCTCTGCCTGAGCAAGAGCTCCGACCTTCCAGCACGTAATTCCATGAACAGTACAGGAGCTGCACATCCAAGCCCATTCTCTGCTAAAAATGCCCTCCTTAACCTTCAGCACTAGCCAGTTCTCTGCACTCGAACATGGGCTCTTCATCACACACTGCATGGACTTCGAGCAGCCTTCCACTCACTGTCAGCCAGCCTAATGACATTTGCATGTGTGACAGCAATAACACCCATCCTTCACACACAGCGGGTGGGTTAATGTAAGGGCTTCTGACCAGCAGAAGGTGTGAATTCATAACAAGAGCTGGTGTGCTCAAGCTTCAACGGCTTGTCAAATGTGTGAGTTGAAGATAATGAATTCAAGTCCAGTTGTGGGGTTTTTCTCTGGTTTGCAGGTTTATTAGCAGGGATGACATAGATAGAGGAGCCACCTGGAAAAGAAAAAAAAGAGTGTTTTGAGGGGCCTGAATGGAATGGTCTTATGTTAACGGCCAGATTGACCATGGAGAACAGCTATGTCTGCCTGACACCCTCTCCTTCCCTTCAGGGTTGATCAGCCTTCATTTTCATCGACACCAAACTCAGTGAATAACCCTCAACTGAACACTTTGCAATACAGCAGATTCAATCAAATAGGAAGCCTTACCTGTGCCGTGTGGTCGAGCAGGCACCGGCCACACCCAGCTGCTGAGTCCGTGCAGACTGGCTGGTGGAGTTAACATGTTCTACAGGTGGGAGACACATGCTGGTCTTTGAAGACCTACTGCACAGAAAACAGTAACATACATCCCGACTTTTTATGTTAATTATACTATACATAGAAATGATGCCGTTTTAGGTATAGATGATTACATTAAACACATTGTTAAAATGGATTTTACCTGGGCCGTCTCCATGGCTAGGTGGCTAATGGAGCTGGACCCACCTGGCTGACCATGTGGCTTGGGTCCCGGACCTAGTGGCCTGAGAAACACACGAGGCATATGTGCATGCCCTAAATCCCAACAGGGTGGAGAATGGAAGAGGAGGGATGGCAGCCTGAGCATTCCCCATTAGGACCACTTTCTCCCTCTCTCTCTTTGCATCTCTCTGTCTCTCTCTGGTGAGCATACTCACCCTCTGGGAATTTTTTTAAAAAAGCCCCCTTACTGGACCCTGCGCGGGGGGAGCTATGACAGGGATGAGAACAGAATGGGGAGAGCGAGGGCCCACCTGACCCTCCGGGAAGGACCTGAGCCAGGACAGGATGTGCTGAGGTAGAACTGGACAAAGACTGGGCCAGGACAGGAAGCTTCGATCTAGCCTGCAGGGGAGTTTTTGGGGAACTGAAAATAAACCGTGGTTCCCAAAAGGAGGAGATAGTACTTACAACTGAAAGTGACTGAAAAGATAAGGGCGCTTCCTGGATATTGTGAGCATTGAAAGGAGACACATGAAGGCAGCAGCTAAAGAAAGACAAATTTGGACCATTCCAAATCCGGACTGCAGATGAGGCTGGTCACAGCAGGCGGCCCTGCTGCTGACACACTCACCATTCCCCACCCCAGACCAGACCCCGGGTCTTGGGCCTTGCCCTTTCCAGACCCCTCCCCTGTCAACTAGCCATAGGCCCCGTGGAGACCCCCAGCACTACCTCCTGGACTGGCTGGGAGAGCTCCCTAAAGCCATTATTTTATTATGTAGAACAATAGCCCTCCATGTCTTGGCTCAGAAAAGTAAGAAAAGCAATTCTTCCCCTAGGTAAAATGCTCTGGTGTTACAGGGTAAAGGTCCAACCTATAGGCATGATGGTTCTCTGGCCAAGCCATGGCTAGACGCTGCTACTCAGCAAACTGAGGCCACAGGGAGCCCGGAGCTCCGTTCCCAGCCCACCATTGAGAGACTGGGGTGTAGCAGCGTACACCTGTGCTCCCAGATCCTCAGGACACTGACCAGGAGGGTGGCAACACAGCAAGACCTTGTATATATCTCATGCCTCCTGATACAGGCTTATGTACAACGGAATACCACAAGACGCAGTTAGCTCAAAATTTTTTTGGCACTGTGGTTAGTGAGGAACCACTGGGGAGGCTAAGTTTTAGAGAAAATAAAGACACAATAAATTAATCTGGAAGGGGGCCCAGCAGATGGAGCAGTGGTTAAGATGCTGGACTCCCACATGGCCAACTGTAGTTCAAGCCCTGGACCTGGTGGCTTCAAAATTACTCTAGACGCACGTGTGTTAGTGCAGAGAATCTGAAAGGAAACTGGAGGAGAAGGGACTGTTGTGTGACCATCTCCTCCGGGGAGTGGGTTCTCACCTTCCCTTTCTCTGTCTCTCTCCAGTGAGCACACTCACCCTATGGCAAGAACCTAAACAGAAAAAGAACCTGGAAGGAGGTCTCTTCACCTCTGTGCAGGAGGAGCAAGCATGTGCACTTTGTGTATGGCCCAGGGAGGGCTGGCCTGCAGACAGACAAAGAGGAGATTTTCACCACTGCACAGCAGCCCTTCGGTGGTGTCCTACTCTCACGCCACCATGGGCAAAATACCGAATAGTGAGGGTTTAAACAAAGTATTCCTAGCTCAGATCTTTTATTTATTTTATTTTTTATATTGGACTTTTCTCAGTTCCTGAATATAACCAATGAAAATCCTTTTTGAAGGCCTGTCATGATCCGTCTTTTGAGATGAAGGTGGCCCGTCGTGAGGAAGCAGCTTGCACGGTGAGACCAAGCACATGCCCTTGCTCTTGGCCCTCTGTCACCATGGAAGCCAGCCCCTCTCCTCCTCCCTGCACTCCTGTGCTGAGTGTAACTACGGCTGCGCTCATTTGCAGATAAAAAGCCTTGCTGATATAAAGAAGCACAGACCAAGAAAATTTCAAGATATTTATTTTATAAATAGCAGACTGCAAATATACAAAAGACTGATATAAAATGTGAGGTTTTCTCTGTACCAAATGCAATGTAATAGAAAGATGAGAAAGTGCTATCATAGAAGTCTCAGTTTACAGCTAAGGGAGAGCCAATAAAGTCTCTTTAGAGTTATTGCCACAGCCAACAGACGGTGTAGTGGTTACGCTGCTGGACTCCCACAAGGTCGACCATGGTTTGAGTCCCAGATCCACTGGCTTGAAAATCATGCCAGGTGTGTGTGCATGTGTGCTCAAGATCCTCGAAGGGGATTGTGGCGTGGCCATCCTTTCTGGGGGCAGGGGGATTTCTCACTTTCCCTCTCACTGTGTTTCTCTCTCCCTCCAATGAGTGCACAATTTAGAGAGAGAGAGAGAGAAAGAGAGAGAGAGAGGAGAGAGAGAGAGAGCAGGTTTTGTCAAAAAGGTCAATGGAAAGACTCTGCCCCTTGGAGACAGTGTGGCACGATGGCGTGATTTAGAGTTCTTGCTGTTTGGTACACCACTCACTTGAAGGTCACCTGGATGAGTTAACCTAGGAGATAGATTGAGAAAGAGCTCAATTCCCTGGACACTTTTTTGTACTGCCAGTATACGATCGCGGAAACCCCTCCTGGGTGCCCTGTAGTATTTTTCTTTTTCTTTCTTTTTTTCTTTTTATTTTTCCAGCTGAAGCCCTGCACCCTCATAATTCTCCAGATGGTCTGAGGTCTGTCAGAGAAGCTGAAGCCCAGAAAGCCCAACTTAAGGAACTCTGAAGCAGCACTATGGAGGCAGTTTGAAAATACTCAGCCCCAGAGAGGATGGGAGAGAAAGCAGAAGTGTGCTTGGCCCCCACCCAGCATGGTGCTGGAAGTGCTGTTGCCTTTGTGTTCCGAGGGGTTGTATTTCTGTACGCACGTGTCAGTAACTGCTCCTCTTCTGTCCCACAGCCATGAAGCGTCACCCCTTGCCCTGCAATGACCGCACAGCATTCCGAATCCCTCCCTTCTCATGGACCCACTGCTGTCTGAACATTGTGCACATGAACGCCAGAACCCATCTGGACATACTGCAGCACACCTGTACCCTGAAGCTCGCGGAGCGGAAAGAAGCCTAGGCTGTTTAGAAGGTGAGGTGCCCAGTCATTCCAGCCTCTGGCACTACGTTTAATAATAAAGCAGCATGGGGTGCAGGTCCCCAGATCTACCCAGGGCTCTTGCTCCCTCCTGAGCACACCTCCTTGGCTTCTGCCCATTTCAAGCAGGTGCAGTGGAGAGGGGTCTATTTGCTGTCTTTTCAGGCCCTTTCTAACCACCAAGGGCCCTTCCCAGGCCCACCTGTGCCCTGGACTGCCCTGCCTTGGGATCCGGCCTCCTCCAGATGTGGGCTTTCTCATAGATGTCATATGTCTGGCCTTGACAGTGGGCCCCCTTGACTTCACATTTACTGTCCCAGTAGATTTCCCAGTTCCTCAGTAAAATAATGCTCTTCTGAGGGGCAGGAGCCCATTTCCACGTGTCCAGAAATCACAAACGCATTTACTGAGCATCAGGGGTCCTACTAGGCTGTAAGAGAAATAGGAATCAGGGACCAGCAGTTAGCGTAATGGCTATGTCGCTGGACTCCCATGTAGTCGACCGCGGTTCAAGTCACAGACCTGGTAACTTAAACTCATGCTGGGCGCGTGTGCGTGCGGGAGGAGAACGGATTGCGGCGTGGCCATCCCCCATGGGGGGTGATCTCTCTCTTTCTGTCTCTCTGTCTCTCTCTCTGTCTTTCTGGCAAGCGCATGAGCCCTATAGCAAAACAAAACAAAACAAAACACCCCCCCCCCAAAAAAAAGAAAAAAATAGGAATCAAAGGAAAACAGACACACAACAGCAATCTCAAAGTGACCCAGCCGTCACGAAGTTCAACTTCGGAGATATTTTCAGCACTACTCACTTATCAGGCTCTGGACGTAGTAACTATTTGGTTATTTGTGATAGGAAATGAGGCTGTGAAGAAAATTTGTTCTCATGATAATAGTTAAAGACTATATCGAAGAGTCAAAAGTTAATATAAACAAAACAAATAATTGTCTGGATAATTATTTGAGAAGCTAAAAATTGTATATGTAGAGGGAAACTAATTAAATGCTTCTTAAAGGTCATGTAAAACAAAACAAAAAGAAACAAAGAAAACTGCATGAGCACCTAGACTTTCAAAGCTAACACGCCCTTGCCTGCAGAGAGGCCATGTGTCCCCCTCACTGTAAGTGGCTGATGGTGTGGGGTGTTCTGGGGAGCCTGCGTGGACCAGACAGAGACAGGCAAGCCCCAAGGCACTTGAGGCTGTAATCCACCACTGCATGGATCATGGGGCACGGCTGTGTGCTCAAGGAGTCCCAGGGTGTGAACCCAAGACCTCCCCTGGGTGGGTCTAGCTGTGTTACTGCTGTGCCACCACCTGGCCCCAGCAGGACGGTTCTTTCCACAAACTGAATGCATGTCTTTCCACAGACTGAACAGCGTGTAGGCTGTTCTCTTTCAGAAGATGTGATGTAGTCAATCCCTGGATCCAGCACATACTCACTCCTTCCCGAGCCCGCCCACCTGCGCTGTCCCTGCCTCAGCCAGCTTTTGCAGGCCGGTGGACCCGCACCAGCCTCATTTCCCAGCATCCTTTGCCTTGCCTCTGGATGCCACACTCAGATGCCCTACTTCCTCCTGAACATGCCTCAGGGTCATTGGGGTGTCTCTGCCTGGGTTCAACCGTCCCTCCTTTCAAGAAGGACTTCTCCCACTTCCTTTAGATGTGCACTAAAATGTCACACTGTCTCTGCCTCCTGGGGACGAGAACAGGAGGAGGCAGGGAAAAAGCAGGAGCGAAATGACTAGCTAGACGCCCAGGGTCAGGGGAGTAAAGAGAGTGGGGCAGCGCTCCCTGGATAGCTGCGCCTTCGCAGAGAGGTGGTGGGTTCTGTCCTCCGGATACCCTGGGCAAGGCTCCCCAGTGAGGAGACTGGATTGCAGAGACAATCAGACAACAATCGGAGCACAGCGAGGTCCTTGAAAAGGAAAACGCTGCCCGGCCGGCTGCTTGCTCACTTCCGTGCGAAGATCTGCCATAGGTTGTTTCTGATCACCTCCAGGTTCTCCCGATGTGGCTCAGACCACCACGCGGCTGCAGGGAGTTCCTCCACCTCACATGCTAGCTGCGCTGGTCTACAGCTGGAACCTGCCCTGAGGCCCCACAGTGAACCTCCTCCCCTCCACCTCCCCTGGGTCACAGCACTCCCTCGTCCAGAGATTCTTCTTTATGAGCATCTTCAAAGCCCCGGACTGGGGCCTGTGAGACACGCAGTGCACAGTGCCCTCCTCTGTGTTGTAAGCTGCGGATGGTGTCCCAAGGTCGCGGCAGGCGTGCAATGGCACACTCCAGCGTCCCGAGGCTGGTGCTCTGGCGTCCCGGCAGGCACTACTCTTCGTCTGTTCTCTGGGGCAGGAACACCTGAGCAGGCTGTCTGAATGAGCCCTGACGTTCCGAGGGGAGTTCTCTGGGTCTTGTCTCTCCGCATATTGCAGGTGAAGTGGGTCACACCTGGCGCCTGACGGCCTGGCTTCCCCTAGGGTGCAGCACCACGTCCGGGAGGGCCAGCTCATCACGCATTCCCCACCTCCCTACGCCGGCCAGGGGACGCTTCCTCTAGCCTGCCTCAGACCAGGAACCCTTCTTGACATGGTGTTGGGGAGGCAGCGAGTAATCCACAGAAGGTGGTGTGTTGTGTGGGATCTGCTTTTGCCTCTCCCTAAACTGTGCCCAGAAAGGATTGTGCTGCCTTCTCTTCTTCCCAAGAACCACAAAACAGTTCATCCCTGGGAGCTACTGCTTCCTTTCCAGGCCTTCCTCATGGTGGCCCCGGCTGGCTCCACGCTCCCCGCTCCCCGCTCCTCGCTCCTCAAGTGTCTGCCACCTTCCTGTCTTTTCCCCTCCCCACTACACTCGTTTCTGAGATGTGTTCTACGCCTCAGGTTCAATGAGTCCTGATCCAGGGAAAGACACTTCCAAGGCTTCCGTAATATTTTGATATTTTCCTGAGTAGTAGATGCTACTGGAAAAAACACTTTTAGAAGTGTTGTGTTCAAATGACCTTTATGAAGATTAAGTCATTTTTACCTTTTCTTATGATCACTTTTTAATCTAACTTTCTTAAAATGTGAACCCATTAGCAGGTTTATTCCCTCGTTTGTTCACTTTTTAAAAGGAAACCCTTTTACTCCTCCCCAGAACTCCCGACTAGGCAGCTTCGTGGTGCTGGCAAGGAGTGAGCCACCGTTACCTGCTCTCCCAGATGCCCTGGTGGGTGCCTGCTCTTCTCCGCTTCTCCCAGCATGTTCTTCATACGAGCTCCCGCTTCGTCTCTCCTGTCGTTCCTCTTTGGTTTTGATCCAGGGCCACTCGCTGCTGCTCTGTTGCAGAGTCGGCACTGTCTACAGACGCCCCTCTGAGGTTCTTTGCTGAACAGGGGGGATGTGCATTCCCCTCTCCTTCCCAGGTAGAGCACTCAAAGATGTCAGTAGGAATTTCAATTCGGGTCTTGGGCAACAATGAAGAAAGAAAGAAAAAATAATTGTGTCTCTGTGAGGGACTGAACTTGAATGGACTGGGATGGGCCTTTAGTAGTCTAAGCCCACTCTGCCTCAGAGTGAGGAAGTAAGACAACCTCCTCTCTGAAGGGAACGGACAGTGGAGGAGGTGGAGCAGGAAGCATGACGGCGAGTCATGTCCTGGGAAAGTGCAACACGCAGCAGAAAGTGCTGAGAACGGAGTCAGTTGCCTGTGTTGCAGAAAAGCTCTTTTGCACACTGTCTTAGTTTGTCTGTGCTGTGATGACAGAATAACTGAAACTGGGTAATTTATAAAAAAATAGCGGCTTATTTTCTCACAGTTCTGGAGGCCAGGAAGTCCAAGGTCAAGGCACAGACATCTGGTGAGGGCTTCCTGCCTTGTGGAAGATGGGAGGGCAGAGGGGGAAGGGCACTGCACCTTCACGTTCCAGGAGAGAGCCCACTTCTGGAACCCCTTCCTATAGCCTCTCTAATCCATCCATCAGCACGAAGTCCTTATGACCTAAAAACCTCCCAAAGGCCCCATACCCCAACACCGTAACACAGTTGGACAATGTTCCTAATACACACATACTGATGGGCACACTCAGCCCATAGCACTCACCAACTGCATAATTTTAGAAAATTATTTGTGGGAATTTTCTCCGCTGTAAAAGGGAGGCGATTATGTCACATTCATAGAGCTACTGGGAGAAATAGCTCAACTCAGCCCACAGCATCTTAGGGTTCCACCGAGTGCTCCACGTGGCTTTGCTCTTACTCATTTTTGAAAACTTTTGGAAAACCTATGTGGTGTCCCTTGGAATTGGTGAAGCGGGTGGAATTGGTGAAGCAGTGGCCTGGCTGTCACCAACACTCCAGCAGCACTGGGCATCCAGCCTGGAATGGGCTGGTGGGCATTTGCTCATGCCTCATGGCTGTCGGCTCTGCCCCTGCCTGTGCTGTATATTGCTTTCCTCATGTTGCTTGTGCTGCCTCCTCTCAGAGACTGAGACACCGCTGGGGTGAGGAGTGTAATTCGAGCAGGGCCTCAGAGGCCTTCTCCTCCGTGGCAGTACAATTAGTGTGACTCTTTCTGTCATCCTCCCCAGGGAATGTCTAGCCAGAGCACAGGCCATGACGTGGATGAATTTAGTGACTGCCAGCGGTTTGTAACCTGCGATCTCATTTAATTTCTGGTCAGACGCTTTGCTTTGAATACTCTCTAGACATTTAATAATATTTATTAGTTTTTCTTTGCTCTATTGAAATTCTATGAAATTGAGACAGGAAAAAGAAACCTAGAATTGCTCTTAACCACATCACCCACCAATAACTGGGATTAATTTTTTGTTCATTATTTTCCATTGAATATATTTAACATGGTGTTTTCTCAGTTCTAAGATTTTTGTCGATTGTGGGAGACATCATTATTGTAATAGTGCTTTCTGGGAAAAGGAAAAAAGAAAAGCGAAAAGGGAAAACAGGTATCACTTTACCTGACATACACAGGCTTATAAGATGTATCTCAGCTTAAAAATGGTAAGACGTGACTTCTGAGTCCAACAACTGTAAGAACAGATCCTGTGCATTCTGAATGTATCATTTCAGGCCTTTCTGTTTTTAAGTTTATTGTTCTTCCATGAGGAACAGAGTCACAGAGTCAGAATGAGAAAGCACCCCTAGCAGGATCTCACCGCTGCCCACTCCTGGCCTCAGCACCCCCGGGGATGGCAGGCACGTGTTCAGGATATGAACCGGAAACCTGCCCAGGAGTCGGCCCTGTGGGACTCTGAATCACAGACCAGCCACCACCCAGCCCTCTGGGCCACCATGTTTTCAAACATGAATGGGACAACAATGTAAGTTTGGCAAAATGCTTACAAAACATGATGTATTTTATCCAGGGGATATTTTTATGTGGAAGATATCTACTACCAATGTTGAGGGGGGAAGAATCCTGCCGCTCACTCCCCTCACCGGTTCTGGTTCATGAGCGGGTGGAAGACTCGGGCGGGGGCTTGCTCCCAGCTACTTTCAGATCTCTGCTCCACATTGATAAGAGCTTAACCTTGTTTCCCTACTGCACTGTTACACCCAGGGTGACGCATTTCATGACTGTTACTTTCTATGTGAGTTCTTTTCACATTCAGTGAGATTCGGCACCCCCACCTGGATTGATTCGAAGATCCACCTCAGTGAGAGGCTTGCCGACATGTTCCCCTGAGCTTCTGTGAAAGCCCTGGGCTTATGCAACCTAATACCCTGACAGTGTGCTTCCGGAAACCTTCCGAAACCTAAAGAAACAGCTGATTCCCGTGGGCAAGGAAGCCCTGAGTGCAGAAAGCAGAGTGATACTTACAGGAGGCTGGAGGCGGGGAAACCTGTCCTTTTCTTCTTCTTCTACTAGAGCACAGCACAGGGAAGGGACTGATGTCTTCCTCCAGGGACTGCTCACTGCTCAGCAAACCTGGGCACAGTGAACCACCACCCATGCAGGCTTGGGCACTGGAAGGAGCCCACGGGAAGCAAGCGGGCATAATGTAGGCCCCATCTGTCCAGCCCAGGTCCAACCACGTGCGTACCTTTAGGCTCCTCCCACCTCCAGTGGCTGAATGCAGAGGCTCAGAGATCTTCAAGGATGAAGGACCCACAGGATGGGAAGCAGCCTTCATCACTCTGAGCAAAGCCTCTTGCCCAGCAGAAATACCAGCCACCTGGACCTGTAAGAGAGACAGCCGTCCGGGCATTGGTCCACTGAGATGATGGGGTTTACTCCTTAGGTAGCTAGCATTGCCATAGCAACCGCTCTCTCATCATCTGCATATAAAAGTATGCAAATATATATCATTATTTGTTTAATCATTTCCCTGTTCTTAGACATTTAATTTCATTAACCTTTAGTTATTACAAGTAGCACTATATTAAATATACATAACATTTTTGCATACTTCAAGGAATATTTAGGAAAATATAATTTTATAAAAGGGGAATTGCAGTTAAATACATTGAAATTTTTAAATTCTACCTCTATTAGACAGGAATTAACATATCGCTCTTAGAAAAGTTGTGCCAAATAAGACTTCTCGAGATCACGTACAAAAGCGCTTTTTCTTCACGTTTTCAATCGTGTAAATCAGCCACCATCTATATGTCACTGTGATAGAAAACTGCAACTTTAAAAAAAGCGTATTTACTTTAAATGAAGTTCATTTTTCTTTCTTACATGTACATAATTGCTCATACTTTTTACTTTTTCTGTGTATTATTTTTGCATGCTTCTATTGTAAATTTTTGTTAGATTGCTTTTTCCTTCTTGGTATGTAGAAATTGTTTATATATTAGGAATAGTGTGCTCTTGTCTCTTACCTATCTGAAAAATGCCGTCTGTATATTAAAGCATATTGCCTCCTGGTTATTTTTAACTTTTTAGTATTGTTTGACATTTAAGAGACAACTATACATATACATATATTTTATATGTAGACAAATTGTTGAGTTATTTGTGGCAATTAGGTATTACTGTCTTCTTTGCAGGACTATTACTGAGATTCCCAGTATTACAAAGTTTTTTTTTTTTTTTTTTGGAGAGATTTTTGTTATAGGGCGTGTGCACTCGCCAGACAGACAGAGAGAAACAGAGACAGAAAGCGAGAGATCACCCCCCGGGGGGGATGGCCACGCCACAATCCCTTCTCCTCCATTCTCCTCTTGGGATCTTGAGCATGCACGCACATGTGCCCGGTGAGAGTTTAAGCCACCAGGTCCAGGACTCGAACCGCGGTCGACTACATGGGAGTCCAGCGACATAGCCATTACACTAACTGCTGGTTCCAGATTCCCAGTATTATAAAGTTTTAAAAAAATGTTTTTTTTAAATTAATAAGTAGGCATTTGTGTATGCACACGTAGACTTAAATGTGTGGTGTACGTGTGTGTATGTATTATTTTGTTGTGCCCTGGTTGCGAAATTCCCAAAAGATCACCAAAGAGCTGATTCTGATGCAAGCACACAAGGGTCGCTTTTATTCGGGCTCGAGCCAAGATTTCCAATCCTCACCGACACAGAGGGTCAGAGTTGAGAGCCCCGGCCTTAGTTGGGCTGGGTTTAGTTGGCTGTTGGGGGAAGGTCGAGGGGTGCTGAGGAATGCACTCAGGCTGCTACACATTGGCTGTAGATTTCAAAAAATATAGTTGTCTTTTACTGATTGGCAAGAAAGTTACTTCAGGTCTCTGGTATTTTCTTTTCTTTCTTTTTTATCATTGGTCAGCCCCGGTGGGGTGATGGTCTTCTGACCTTCTCTCACATGATCGGCTCGCCTCCTTGAAATTGTTCCGATTCTCAGCGAGGTAGATTTAACAAGATGGAGTTGCCCTGTAAAGAAAATGGAGTCACTTTGGTCCTTTAATTTCTCTGGAAAAAGTGTAAGAATTTTTGTATGTATCTACTATCAATATAACCATTCTTTCCCTTCTGACATAAAGTTCCACTTTTAGCACATATTAAACTCATTATTTATCACTATTGATTGATATTTTTACTATGTGTAGATTGAATGAACAATTTTGAGTCCTTTTTTTTTTTTTTTTTTTTTTTTTTTTAGGGAGAGATTTTTGCTAAAGGGTATGTGCACCCACTGGTGACAGAGAGAGAGAGAGAAAGTAAGAAATCACACCCCCCACCTGATGGCCATGCCACAATCTCTTCTCCTTTCTCCTCTTGCAATCCGTTCTACTGCACTGTCCTCTCAGGATTTGGGGCATGCAAGCATGCATGCGTGCGTGCACATACACACACACACACACACACACGCACGCACACACACACACATGCACCTGGTGTGAGTTTCAAGTTGCTGGGTCTGGAACTCAAACCATGGTTGGCCATGAGAGAGTCCAGCACTATAAGCACTACGCCACCTGCTGACCCCTTGAGTGCTGTTTTCAAGGTTACGAGCAGTTGAATCATGTGGATACATAACAGAGATTTGGCTTATTCTCTACTGTTGAAAGG